TTGTGAAAAATAGAAGAATGCAATGGAAGAGGAAATTGAAATGATGAAGAAAAAAGAAGTGTGATCATTGGTAGAGAAGCTGGAAGATACTAAAGTGATAGGTAGTAGATAGGTTTACAACCTAAAAACCGATGAATCAAATAAAATTGTGAGACATAAAGCCAGACTTGTTGCACAAGAATCTAAGCAACAACAAGGTATTGACTATTATGAAGTGTACAGTCCTGCGGTAAATTTTTCTCTCATAAAATTATTTTTCGTTATTTTTGAAGTTTAATGAACTGGGTTCACTGTCAAGTTGATGTAAAAAGTGCACATTTATATTCAGACTTAACAGAAGAAATTTATATGGCACAACCTGAAGGTTTTGTAGTAGATCGATCGAAAGTGTGTAAATTAAAAAAGGCAACATATGGATACATCAATCAGGACATGAGTGGTACACTGAAGTACGAATTATACGAAGTGTGTTGTACGAATTAAAACTTGAAAAATTAAATTGGTGCAACGGAATATTCACAGGAGATAATGTGTTGCTATTGATATATGTAGATGATATTGTGATATTTGGAAAAAGTCAAAAGAACATAGATCTAATTTTAAAAGAGTTGAATCAAATTTTTGAATTAAAGATTGTGGGTGAAACAATGAAACTCTTAGGTATAGAATTTGAGAAAATTAATGTTCATTTAGTAATCCACCAGAAAGAATATATAGAGAATACAGTGAAGCATTTTAGCAAGTGGTACAACATACCCATAGTTTCATTGCGAATAGCTAAAGGATTAAATTTGTCAATGCAGGATTGCCCTCAAACAGGAATACAGAAAGCTGAAATGGAAAATATTCCATACCGAAGTGTTCTTGGATGTGTATCCTTTATAGCAAGTAGGACAAGACCTGAAATATCTTATGCTGTTAACATTTTATCACAGTATCAAGAAAATCCTGGTATCAAACATTGACAAGCTCTGCTGAAACTATTAGGGTTGTCAAAAATCTCAGATCTGTCAATAAAGTTCTACACTGATACTGACCATGCATCAAACAGAGATGACAGAGTGTCAACTACTATTTGGAATTATTGTATATGTAGGTGATATTCCTATCTTGTGGAAAACCTTTAAACAGAAAAGTGTTTCAATTTCTACCATGGAGGCTGAGTATATCTCTTGATCAGAGTCAGTCAAGGAGTTAGTGTGGTTAAAAAATGTGCTAACTGATAAAAGAAACTCCAATTGGACATACCAAGCTATGAATTGTTTTGTGATAACAGTGCTGCTATTGATTGTTCTAAATCTGAAAATTTGAACTCTCGAAGCAAACACATTGATGCTCATTACCATTTACCAACACCATTATAGATATTGTTGTTTGAGAATTATAATTTTTTGAGAAACTTCTTTTACATTTTTCCTGTGGCACTTTCATAAACACACTGTGATGACAAACAAATAATTTTCTGCAATTAATTAATAAAAAAATATTTACAATCCAATAGAAAGGCACTAGAATTAAAGGATGGTATTTTTTGTTAATTTATTCTTCCATTACTCATGGTACTATGGACAATTCATAATCATTCACTTTGATTTTGATGGGAATTATGCATCAAAATTTAATAAAATAAACATCTTAAAAGATTGCTTGATTTCTTAGATGTCAAATAATAATTGTTTGGTATTATAAAACATTTAGCAGGCAGAAAACATTAAAAATAAGTTATAAAGTAGGTAGGCATAATGCAGATCTTTTAGTCTTATTTTATAAAAATAGATGGCGTAATTAATAAAAATGTTAAATTTGAAACTTAATTTTAATTTAATTTTAGTAATCCACAATAAATAAATAAAATATTAATTTAATTCGATAAACATTAACGTAATTACCGTATTTTTCGGTGAAAGCGCCATGGCGCTATCGAAAGAAAAGTTGTTTTTTTCCTACATGCGGCGCTTCCGTCGAAATATTTCTTAGCAAAAAAATTTTTCAAGGAAAGTTATTTAAGATGGAAATAATTTTCTGAAGAAAGACTATTCAAAAAAATTAACGAAGTCAACGAAATATTCGCCCGCATCGCGATCTGCTGCAGAACATCGCCAATTCTTAGCAAACTTTCGGCAGCAGCCTGTAGAAAGTAAATAAACGAAATAATAATTTTTGAAAAAAGCATCGCATAAGGAGAAAATTTAAAATTTATGCATCTTGTATCCACCCCCAGCTTAAAGAAAAATCGCGAGTTAGAAATCTACTTAGCGCCTTGGTCATTGTAATTGGAGCGAACAGAAAAGGAAGTAATAGGACCCTAAATCCGACACTTACGGGACTGACGAAATGCCGAACTTCGGATCTCTTTCGGAAATTCCAATATGGCACCCATATATTACTATAATTCAGTTATACTGTTAATTTCAGAAAAACCAATAAATTTAGTTAAGTTTTGATCGTAGATTATGATGGGATGAATTTAAAACTGGTCCGTCTTAAGAAATTTTATTAATCAAAATAATAATCTATATAATATAATCAAGAAGAAATAATCGTTTCTTCTTTGGAGCGAGATCATAGTTTTAGTTTTTTCTTTTAGATAACATTTTGTTTTAGCAAAAGAGGCTTACCTCGCAAGAAAAAAAGAAAAGCTAACAAGGAACTACAAAAAAAGTAACAATTAATGCTAAGAAACTAACAATGAATAACAACAAAAAACAAGCTAAAAACTAATAACGATAAAAAAAAATAACTATTAACCAGAAGAAAAAAAAACAAGCTAACTAATAACAAAAAAAAAAATAAAAAACAAATTAACAGTTAATAATTAATAAAAAACAGCAAAAAAAATAATGAATCGAATTAAAAACAGCAAAAGGCATAGAATTCATTTTGTTGTTTCAATGTCAACTGGGTGTGGCCAATTTATGGTCAAGCAGGGGAGGGATGTGAGGGGCAAACCAGTAAAGCACAAGCACAGCTGTCAAGATTGATCAGTTTTTTCCAGCTTGCATTTCTTTATTTTGTTCATTGGAAATGCAGGTGTTTTTACCTCTCACTTTATTTTGAACTGCTTTAGAAACAGATGTTTCCTTTGACACAGATGTATTTTTTTTCAAGCTTCTTTTTTATTTTTAAAAGATAAAATAAAGTAAGTTACTTCAACAGAATAAAATTCCAAATAAAAAGAATATAGCTGATTTTTTTTTGTCTTATCAATATAAATTTCTTTAAAAAAAAGAAAAAATTTGATCAGATTAAGTGCCGAATTTTGGGATGCTGGATTAGGGGTCCCATACCCTTTTCTTTTCCCCAACCCCTTTAAAAATAACTGATTGATTCCTCCTAAATAGCTCCAGTAGAAATGACACGTGGAGGAGGTGGGGTGCACCCCTCTTTTAAACATTTTCTCTCTTTAGATGATTCCCATTGGGTTATTTCCATTGAAGGAGAGGGCATTCTACCCACTAAAATTCCGCCCCCAAAGATTGTGAAAGTGAAACTTATTTCCCCTTCGCTCATTCCTTCAGAATTTTTTTGGGGCGTGCTTAGTTATTTCTTATTCTTGTTATTATTAGTTTTTCCTCAAATTGTTAACGGTAATAAATTTTAAAATCTTGTTATTTTAAAATCTTTTTTTTAATAAATTTTTATTTTATTTTTCTTATTACATTGTTTTACGGATTTCTGTAATCAGTTCAGCGTTAATTCAACTACTGAACATATAAATATTTTTTTGCTGTTCTTCTATTTTTTGGCGCGGTGCCAACTGGTAAGAACACCTTCATTTTATATCGTTTTGTTGTTTGTTTTTTTCTTTTTTTGCTGAAAGAGAAAACTTTTTTTTTTGCTGAAAAAGAAATTTTTTATTATAATTTAGAAATTAAAACTTTACTTTATGAAATGCATAAAAAAATGTAATTTTTTATTATACAGATATTCTAAATGGTAATTTAAAGGTCTCTTCTAAAAGGATGCTGATATGCATGGTTTAGCGCCATTGCAGCGCTTGCGCCAAAGCGGCACTTACTATAAATGTTTTTTTAAAAATTTCATTTTTATCGATGTGCGGCGCTTGTGACGAAGTGGCACTTTCGCCGAAAAATACGGTAAATAAATATCAAGTTAAAACTATAGTTTTTATTTCATAGTGGATATAAGAACTGAGCAAGGCAATTAAACTTAGATTTCAATGTTATTCAATAAATTAGTGTGATATTAGCTTCATAAGAATTCATGCATATGATAACCATAAATTAAACGAAAAATTAAATACATTTTTTTTCTTAAAATAGCTAATAGTTACTTATCAACAAACAAAACTTGCTCCTTGAGGTTTCGAAGCTCTAGAATTCCATTTCGTATTTGTAAGTTCCCCAAATTCCTTTACCCACATGTTGCAATCTTCTAAATTTAGAATATTGCTTTTAAGGGTAATAATGTTTGATGAACTACTTTCTACTTCATTTTTAAATGAAGAAGGCAGTTTCTCAGGTGAAAAAACACATTTCAAGTTTGTAAAACAAAAGCTGGAGTACAGAAATCACTCAATGCTGAAAATAACTAGCATGACAGAATGAAATAGCCATACGCCACAGAAGGTGTTTTCAAGAAATCTAATCAGCGCTCTCAAAATCTCTTGGAGATCCTATAGATGTAAAGAGAGTTTGCATGCTCCCAGACCCTTGCCTATAGCTCAGTAAATGACAACATAAGTAGTTAATACAGTAACCGTTTGTCGTCACATCGTGATTTTCTTATGCATAATATGGGTAAATTGGCAACTCCAAAAGTTTTTTTATTAACTTTATTTTGAACAAAGATTCTAAAACATATGTTTAAGGATAATAATGAAATGATGTGTAGGTTTTAATTTTATCTTATCTTATTAATGCACTATATTTATTTTCCGTGAAGCTTCTTTGTTTTATCATTAGTCTTTAACTTGATTTTTTTATATGTATAATAATATAATGTATGTGTTGCTTTATATAGTTTCTAATTTCATTTAGGTTATGCATTTCTTCTCTTCCAAGATGAATCATCTGTTCAAGCTTTAATTGATGCTTCTATTCAAGAGGATGACAAACTTTATTTGTGTGTTTCTAGTCCTACAATCAAAGACAAACCGGTAAAAATTATTTGTTGTCGAAAGAATATCATAGTTAAGTTTTACTCCTGTATTATGTTTAAAAGGTAGTACTGAAAATAAAAAATAATTCTTGAAAATACAATGTTTCAGTGTTGGTATTATTGATTCGGTTTCCATAAATTTTTAAAATATGAATAATATTGAAAGCTAATGGGCAATTAAATGATACATCGGACAATATAACAAAAAATAAACATTTAATAGCATCCATCCATTACCAAATTTCTTAGTCTTTTTTAAGTATTTTGCAGTAATAATAAAAAAGTTTATTAAAATCTTAATATAGTTTATATTGGTAATATCAGTTATATGAAAATAGTAATGTAACATCAGTTACAAACTCCTTCTCTATTTGCCTATTTCTATATGCCATTTCATGTGTATTAAATTCTGTTAAGTTCTTTCAAACAATTAATATTGATAAATTTTCGGTATTTTGTATTTTCAATTAAAGGTATTGTTTCTTAAATGTTTAAAACAAGAAAGATGGAGGGCGGTGTAGCTCTGTTAAAACTCTTATTCCAAAACATAAATATTTCACAAAGCGGTGGGTAAGAACTATTTTAAATCAACTGCCAGCTGGTTGACATTCTCTTGCATACAGTATGCAGGCTATGGGAGGTTTATCATAGCATTTTATATTTGTAATGTAAATTCACATTTGTTCATTTTTGTCATATTGTATTTTTCTATTTTTTCCCCTCAAAATACTACCCACGCTATAGTTAATACTATTGTCTACTTGCCAACACCTCTATTCTCTATTTTTTTTCCTTTTTTAAAATTCAATATTTATTTTTTTACTTCTCCATATTGTAAAATAAAATATATTTCATACATCTGATAAGATATCCTTAGTTTCAATAATATAACTTCTTTTAATAATTTAACATTTTAATAATTTAGCAAATAATATCCATATTTTTAGCAAGTTTTGAATGCATACTTGATATTTTTTTTGGCTTGTTTGAAATTTGATTATGAAACAAAACATTTAGTGACTTATAATGCTTTAATCAGAATTTAAAAAAATATATATTAAATCAGATTCCATTTAACAATTTCTTACGATTATTTTCACTTGAAAATATAATATTTTTATTGTGTTTGAAATATATCTTTAATACAGTACGTTTTTTAACCTTTTATTTATTGTTTGTTAAAGCAAAATTTAACATACTCCATATGTTTCATTGAATTGTCAAACAGTTTACAAGATTTTGATTCTAGTTTATAGAGTAATTCATAGGTCGAAATTATTAAAATTGCCAAGTTTGTTTTTTCTTTTATATTTTTGTTTAAGTAAACTTTCAAATTGTTTACAAAAACATCTTAAACAGGGAGTGTTCACATGAAATGTGTGCTTATATTTTTCTAAATCTATTAAATAGCATCTAAATATAAATAATTTACTAAAAGTGCTATAAAAGCTAAATTGTGTTAAAATTTTATCAAAAAATTCTTAAACTGTCGCCTTTAGTAAGGCCCTTTTCAACTTATTATAAAAATAGCAATCATACTTATTACATATTGTAGAAGGGAATTATAAGCTTCGTACAAAATTAATTACAAAATACTTTCAATTGCTAAACAAGCATTGCAAAATAATGTTTCTTACCTCATTTTATCCAAAATACTTTCAATTGCTAAACAAGCATTGCAAAATAATGTTTCTTACCTCATTTTATCCAATCTAACCTATCTAATTTTCTTTCCTAACCTACAAAATCTTGATAAAATTTCTGGGTATATTTTTCTTTAAATAACCTGTAGAAATAACCTTTCAGAGAGAAGAAGAAAAAATTATGTCTCACATTTATGAAAGTCTGGTTATGTTAGTCATTTTCTTTTTGCAAATAACATCCTGTTTTTTTTTTTTTTTTTTTGCTAGTGGTTTTATCAAAAACAATACTTCCAGATAGATTTCTTTGGTTTTTTAATCTTTTTAAACAATTTAGTACAACAAATTTTCCAAGGTAAAAGAGTCTTAAGTGAAGTTTAAAGTTGTCCGAATATTTTCGATTTTTCAGACAAAACTATTTGTCCACAATTTTTAGGTTTTGACCCTGATATTCATGTATTCAGACCATCCCATTAGGATTTTGAATACGAATGCAGCTTGTTGCTATATTTTCTGGCATAGGGTTTTTAAAAATGTTTGTTTTAATTCGTAATTTATTGCGAGTCCTTTAACTCTCTGAAAGCTGTAAAATTAAGTATAAAAAATTGCATGATCTAAACACCTAAAGTTATGAAGTAATTCTCTGTGTTTCTTCCATTATTATAAGGTAGCGTGATTGTATATATATAGATAGATAGATACAATTTGTATGTTTATTAAAATTTATTTCTATATCTTTTTTACTCTATGATTGTTTCCGTTACCTTCTTCTCTCTCTTTTTTTTTACATAGTTTTTTTCTTATATCTGTTTTAATGGTAACCTTTTTCATTTGCTTTCTTCTTACAGGCTAATTTCTCCGCGAAAGTTTTGAACTGATGTAAAAATTTGTGCAAATCCCACCAATTCACAAAGCACATTTTTTTTTATCTATACTCATTTTAAAAGTTAAATTCATAATAAAGTCAGTTGAGAAACATTTTAATCTTCATAAATTATTCACAACCAATTAAAAAAAGAAATTTTTTAAATTCAGTAAAAATCTTATTCTTGGTCTGATAAATACTATTTTTCCTTGCCGAAAAAAATTTCGAGCATAAGTTTTTAACAACTTCTCAAAGAGCATTTACATAAAAATTTATCCTGTTTAAAGACAGTCCATAATATTTTGTTTACCTAGCCCTAAGTTTTTGTTCATTACGCATGTTTATTTTTTAAAATTATTACTAACTGCAATCAACATCATACATGACTTTTAGATTATGCAGAAAAAATTTCCAAAAAAATTCATTTTGTTCACACATTTATTTAAATTATGTATACCATTGGTTTTTATAACTTGCATTGTTGAGAAGGAAAAACTATTTTTAGCACTAGATGCTTATTCTATTCTTTTGAAACATCAGAGAAGAAAAACTAAAAACTATAGAAGTTGCCATTCAGTGGTACAATAATTAAATAATAAAAAAAATATATATATAAAAAAATTTAATTATAAGTGGCGCTGTATTTTGGCTCATATTGGTCTCCACTACACACTCCCCCTCCTAGTGGTAACGATTATGACACGTAATCTTTCAAATGATTAGGAAATTTCACTTTTCTGCCAGATCTGGTGGTTTTGTATTCCTTTGACCTCTCTTTCACTGACATATCTTTTGGTCTTTCGCTAAATTCTCTCTCGTTGGTTATTGGCTTTTGGTTGGGGATATCACTATCTTCCAGTTGAAGGCATGGTTTTCATCTGTCGATCGAAACTCTTTTGATTTTGCCCTGAATTTCAATATCGAAATATTTATCTTTTCTAGATATTACGGAGTATGGTACAAGATAGACAGGTTGTAGTGAAGAATTGATGTTGTTGTAAAGGAATACATGTGAACAATTTGAAAGTTGTTTTGAAACGAAAACTGTTCTTTTTACATAGGTTGTGGTAGAGATAGGTTTTATCTTCCTTAAGATTCTCTGTAAGTTTTGTGAAAATTCAGACTGTGGCATGTCAGGAAATAGTGAAAAGAATTCCCCTGGTAATGATAAGGCAGTTCCATATACTAGCTCTGCTGATGAGCAACCCAAGTCTTCCTTGACGATGGCTCTTATCCCCAGGAGAACGAGAGGTAGTGCTTCCAGCCATGATTTTGATTCTAATAGATGGCATTTGAGGCTTGCTTTTAAAGCTCTGTGTTGTTTTTCGATCAATCCATTTGCTTGGGGGTGATAGACTGTTGTAGTGTTGGTAAGAAATCCTAAATATTTTCCTAAGGTGCGAAATAGCTGGCTTTCGAATTGTCGACCTTGGTCGGACGTTATGCGAGCTGAAATACCAAAACGTGAAAAACAGTTTGAAATCAAAGCTTCGGCGATTGATTCTGCAGATTGATCTTCTAATGGAACAGCTTCAATCCATCGTGTATAGCTATCAATGATAGTTAGAAGATATCTAAATCCTTTGCAAGTGGGTAGAGGACCAACTATATCAATGTTTAAGTGCTTGAATCTATGTTGAGGAATTGCAAATTGTCCTAGGTCGGACTGTGTATGTTTATGTACTTTAGATTGTTGACATGTACTTTAGATTGTTGACATGATAAACAAGCTCTCGACCATAGCTGGCAGTCTATTGATATTTAGCAATATGAATCTTTTGGTGATGAGTTTCTTAGTGCTTCTAATCCCTGGATGCGACTGGTTACGGATAGATGAAAATATTTGTCCACGAAATTTTGAAAAAATGTATGGGCGGTTACTGCTGGTTGACACATCACAATAAATAGATTTACCGGTGCCTGGAATAGGAATTTTAGCCATCTTTAGTCTTGGATTATTTCTCAACATGGTAAAATCTTCATCATTTTGAAATTCTGCTATGGTTGTATAATCAATCGGCGATGGCATCGAAATTATGTTAATTCTGGAAAGAGCGTCTGCTACAACATTTTCTTCACCTGCAACATATTGAATATTTGTCGAAAATTGAGCAATATAATTCAGTTGTCTTGCTTGTCTAGGGGAGGCTTTCTCTAAATTTTGCTGGAAAGCAAATGTGATAGGTTTGTGGTCTGTATAGGTGGTGAAATTTCTTCCTTCTAAAGTGTATTTAAAATGTTTTATTACAGTGTAGATAGACAAAAGTTCCTGATCATACCTATATTTTCTCTGCTTATCAGTTTAAGAACGTGAAAAGAAACGTAATGGATGTATTTCCCCCTGTTCAATTTGATGTATTACAGCCCCTATGGCAGTATCAGAAGCGTCACATGTGAGAGATATAGCAGCGCTATTTGATGGATGAACCAGCATTGTAGCATTACAAAGGGCGTTTTTAAGGTTTCTAAAGGCGTTGCTAGTGTCTTCATTCC